TTCGTTCGGGGTTTCTCCCCGCTTTTGAAAATTCATGCCTCTGCTCCTACTTGAGATTAAGGAATGAAACCGCCGTCATTTATTGAGAATTTAATTCTCTATCGATCGGCATCGGTTTCATTCCTTCATCTTCATTAGGGGGGGAGAAATGAATTTTCTAATCGGGAAAGCCCCTCCGGGCTCACTCGACGTCGGAAAGCCGTTCGGGGTTTCTCCGCGCTTTTGAACATTCATTCCTCCGTTCCTAACTGAGATTAAGAAATGACACCGATGTCATTTATTAAAAATATAATTCTCAATCGGTAAGCTTTGGTTTCATTACTTCATCTCAATTAGGGAGGGGAGAAATTAATTTTTGAATGAGAAGAACTTGTTCGGAGTTACTGCGCGCTTTGAAAATTCATTTTTCCTCTCCTAATAGAGATTAAGAAATGAAACCACTGTCATTTATTGAGAATATTATTCTCGATCGATAGATGTTGCTTCCGTTCCCTCTCCGCAATTAGGGGGGGGGGGAGAAATGAATCTTCCAATCAGGGGAACCCCTCCGGACTCACTCGACGCCGGAGAGCCATTCGGGATTTCTCCGCGCATTCGAAAATTCATTCCTCCGCTCCTACTTGAGATTAAGGAATGAAATCGTTGTCATTTATTGAGAGTTTAATTCTCGATCGATCGGCATCGCCTTCAATCCTTCATCTCAATTAGGGTGGGAGAAATGAATTTTCCAATCGGGGGAGTCCCTCCGAGCTCACTCGACGTCGGAGAGCCGTTCGGGGTTTCTCCGCGCTTTTGAAAATTCATTCCTCCGCTCCTAACGGAGATTAAGAAATGAAACCGATGTCATTTATTAAAAATACAATGGTCGATCGGTAGGCTTTGGTTTCATTTCTTCATCTCAATTAGGGAGGGGAGAAATTAATTTTTGAATGAGAAGAACTTGTCCGGAGTTACTGCACGATTTTAAAATTCATTCCTCCTCTCCTAATAGAAATTAAGCAATGAAACCGCTGTCATTTATTTAGAACATAATTCTCCATCGATCGATATTGCTTTCATTCTTTCATCGTAATTAGGGGGGGAGAAATGACTTTTCCAATGGGGGGAGGCACTCCGAAGAGCCGTTCGGGGTTACTCTGCGCTTTTGAAAATTCATTCCTCCGCTCCTACGAGAGATTAAGGAATAAAACCGCTGTCATTCATTGAGAATTTAACTCTCGATCGATCGGCGTCGGTTTCATTCC